CGATCCAATGTCTTAGCTGGGAAGCACGAGGCTCTATCAGCAGACACGTGGCTCATCTTCCGTCAGATCTGATTCCGCCTACAAAAGGAAGGGTTTCGCCTGCAAATACTGGGCATAACCCCACGAGGCGCGCGAAAATTGGCTCTCAAAAACTAATTTCGCCTTGACGATGCATTCGCCCTCAAAGGTAAAATTACGAACAAAGCCAAAAGAATGACCTTGCTTAAACGGTTGAAACCCACGCCCCAGATGGCTAAGGGTTAGAGCAGAAATCTTAGCATTAAGCCTAAGAGAAACTGTTCGACAACTCATCATACTGAGGAGAATAGTATGGCTAGCCCGATTCAAACGGTAATCGGTAAAGGCACATCAAACCCGTTGATAGCTGAGGATTTGCTAAAAATCCTAAGAGAAATCGAAGGCACTTGCTTCGCCAACAATTTCTTCATTCAAAGTATTCCAGACCACACGCAAGCCAGTTTAGGTCTGAAAACTTTGAAGGGGGTCTTGTAGACGGTAAAAAATACCTCTATGGGTCTACAGGAAATTTGCCTACGAGAAGAGTTCGCACGCCCAATTCTCTGGCACGGACCTAAACCGCGTAGACGTCGACTGTACTCAAGTCCAGGTTCGCCTAACGGTCGACTCGCCAGCATGAGTCAGGAGCGATCAGGATGGCGGAAATTTGCTCTTCGCTCAACTCGCCTGCCCGAGTTCGGAGTCGAATCCGCCAGCAAGCCCCAAAACCGTCAGTACAGCTGGATATCCACTACCCCACGTGCTGAGATGGACCTTCCCATCTCTCTCGACCCGAAGGGAGAGAGAGCACAGTACCCCAGGACCGTCAAACGGCCGCTCGCAGTGCGCACAGCGCGAAGGGACTGGACAGGTGTCGAGTCAACCTGAGCATTCATAAATGCGACTCACCTCGGCTGTCTGAGTCTGGAGGTGGATCCGCCGGCACTCGGCAAGCTGGCTAGACCCACTCGAGTACTGTACACCTACTTCACCGCCTCTCCTGACCGGAAAGGAGAAAGCGTCGTGCTCAAAGCACGCCGGGCGGTCGCGCACAGTACAAGTGATCGGACAGACACTTCATCGATCTGCGAACTCATAAATGCGGTTCATTAATGCTGGTCAAATCCACTCGGATAGCAGTCGTTTGTTGCCTCACATACAAGAATGGGCCTTCCCATCGTAGGTGACAGGACATAGAGCACAATCCCTGGAATGACCGTTCATGGTATCGAGGAACAGCGAGACGTCTCTGAAGAGGATGTGGTCACATCCCACAATTCAAGGAGAAGTCAAGCTGTCCTTCTTTCATTTAAAAAAACCCCTTCCAGCACGATGGAAGAGAGGTCGCAAAACTTGGAAAAAAAAGAGTTGAGACCAAGCTGTTAGCAAATCCTTGCATTACAGCACTGCTGCCTAGTTCCGAGCTCCGATCGCCGACGAACCAAGCAGACCCGAACTCCATTGCCCCGAGCTTCTACTGCGAACTGAAGCTCTCCAGCAACCTCATTCAAACGGTCCAAGGGAAGCAGACTCGACCCGAGCATCGAGCGAAGCGTCCTATAGCCACCTAAAGTCCCCACACAAAACAAAGAGGGCCTTCCCTCTGCTTCTGTTGTAAACATTTGATTTGTTAGTTTGTAATAAGCTTTCTTATAAATACAAACGAAACTCCTTCCTTCGGAAGAATCAAATTTTCACCCTACAGCTGGAAATGTTGTTATTCCTGTTGTCGAAGAAGAAGAAAATGTTAATCCTACTAATGGATCTAACGATGAGGATTTGAGCTTTAGCTTGTTCGGCTGAGTTCATTGTCATTAAGACACAAAAGTTATCTTGTTTGGTTTAAGGAGATCAGAACTATCTTAACTACTTCTACGCGTTCGTCGGAAGTATGAGTTTCATCATTACCAAAGGAGATCTCAAGGAAATTAGTGAAGAAGTCGCAAAACTGTGACATATAGCAAGTTTCTATAATCGAATTCGTAATATCTTCAAAACAGATATGGTGAACCATCATTCAATAAAAGATCTCAAATTAATTTGGGGATCCAAAGTATTCTGAAAATTCGTTCCAGTCAATCGTGAACTTTGAAAACTTTGGAGGGGGTTCTATAGGCTGTCTGAAAATTACAACAGATAGTTGATCCCTATCAAATTTCAATAATAAAAATTACAACTTGACGACTTCTACATCAACATTTCGACAATGAAAGTTATAGACAAATGACTTTCACGTCAATAAACGAAAGCTACAATTAGAGAATTTTCACGTAGATTAAGAAAGGTTACAATTCAACGATCTGCACGACAATCGATGAAAAGCTCTAATTTGACATGCTTCACAATCAACAGCGAGAGTTATAGTCTGACGACTCTCATCTCAAAATAGCTAAAGCGAAGATTACAGAATAATGGTCTTTGCAACACTTTAGCAGGAGAGGTTACAAACCTACAATCTCTTAAAAAACACAGAGCAACCTCTGTGTTTCAGCTTCAAAACGCAATGCGGCCATTGCGTTTTAGCATTAGGCGAATGCTTAACTCTACATCCTAAGTATGAGAGGCAGAATTTGGTTCCAGAATGCCAGCTTGAGGCGTTTGACTCGTACAAACACGAGCTGAACGGTTTCAAACCGTTTTCCCCACGTATTGAGGGATTCTCACCCACTTAGGATTGGATTAAGAGGTAAGTTGCACCCCCTTATCCTCCTATAAATATCCAATCGACTCAACCAAGTAATAGGATGAGATTTTGGATCAGATTTTTTTTTGGGGGGGGGGGGGTTGGAATTTTTTGGAAGGATGAGATTTTGGATCAGATTTTTTTTTGGGGGGGGGGGGATTGGCATTCTTTGGAAAAAGATATCTCGTTTTGGGCTGATTCGGAAGGAGATTTGAGGTATCTTTTCAGCAACAGATAGCTCAATTCATTAACCAAATTTTCGGATTAACAACAACTCTTTTCACAGAGTTTAAACTGTCCCGAGTTCATAAACTCTTAAGAGTTCTTTTCATACTTACCATACAAGTTTACATTAACTGTTCTAGTAAAGTGAGATATCAGATCGTCAACGAGAAGCAAACTCGATACGAACATCGAGGGAGGCATCTCATTGCTACCGTGAAGAACCTAGTTTTAAACAAAGGGGAGGATCTCCGTTGATCTTCTTCTCTTTTATAAATTGGGATTCTGATATAACAAGATTATAATTTCTTTTTCTAAGTTAGTTAGAGAGAAATTGTATTGAGAGAATTGTATTCATTCTTTATCTAAGCCAGTTAGAGAGATAATACAATAAATATTCTCAATTTTCTTCTTCAATTTTCCCACCAAACATTAGTCTATAAAATGTCCTCGCAACCAACGCTTGTATAGGCATTGCTCGAGCTCCCTTAAGTACACCGCTAAAGCTTTCAGAACAATTAGTTGTCATCATGCAATAGGATTTCCTCCATCTTTACTTAGTGCCCACCGGTCGACGTAATCACTTCCCAAACTACGCTCAATCCAGTCATGTGCAGCTTGAGATGTTGCATTGATTTGATCTTGTATCTAATCATACACACACGTTTCGGGTGTAACACCCGCTTGCCAAAGAAAGTTTTGTAAATGTATCTGATCAAAGCTCTTTTTAAAATTAATTCTAATGTCGTAATCAATAGCAGTGATTGTGATGAGAGCCAAATCTCATGTACAATGCTCTTGGAATACCTTTCATCCTATCGGATATAAAAATAATTTTTCTAGGAGGCAACACATTAAAAATATATGAATGCAAGAAAAAAAACCATTCTAAATTTTCACTACTCTCGACCTCCACAACTACGAATGCCAAAGAAAATAAGCCACCATTTTGCATCTACTCCTGTAGCGACAAGCAATACACCCTTATATTTACCATATAAGTGTGTGCCAGCAATGCTA